AAATTTGAAGTCATGTTATGGTGACGAATAGAAATCGGGGAATGTGGGGATTGTTATCGCCGTCTCCAGAGTATTTCTGATATGTACCGTTCTTGGTGGAATCAAATATACCAAGTCACTTGAACACTTTCCGTGAAAGTATCTATAGAAGAGAGACAAATCTCCAAAACGAGGATTTGAAGACTCTGGTGGAGACTAACCTATCACAAATGCTGTGTGGCTTGGAGGAAGAACTGAGCGTCAGCTCTAATGGGGTTTTTGATGGTTTAAAACGTTTCGGAAAGGTCAAAATGCTGAAATTGTGTGTGCTCCACGATTTGAACAATCGACAGAAATTGACAGATTCCGAATTATGTTTACCTTTGCTTTTGCACAACCGAAACGATCCTTTTTTGGATCTAATCGTCACGTGTAAAGAACAGGGGATCGTCTATGATAACAAAAGAGAAGTTCAGGACAATGATTGGACACCGACGAGCCACCCAGGCACGTCCTAAAGGCTAAAACCCACCAAAAACGACCATGGTTACTGTATGGTAGTGATTCACCATAACTTTCCGGGCCAAACCATCACATCAGAGTCTTATTGTGAGGATACCAACAAAAAGTACTGAAAATTGGGTCAGCAACAGCTGGCACTGGACAACAGAAGAGGTCCGATTCTGCTTCACGAGTCCGCACGTTTCACAAATCGCCGTCCGACAATTAACCGATTTGAGATCGAAGTTCTGCCAAACCCACTATACTCCCCAGACCTCTCGCCAACCGACCACCATCTTTTCAAGCACTTCGATAAATTTCTCATCGGCAGAATCTTCGCCAATCAGGGCCAGGCAAAAAACGGCCTTCGTCAACTTCACAGAATCTCGAGCACACAATTTTAATGCTGACGGAATCAATTGACCCGCGTTCTGTTGGTAAAAGTACACTGATTCAAATGGTGCTTATTTCGAATGAATTGAATAAGTATTTACTGAAATATTATATTTCAAAGTGGGCTCATCTAAACCAACAAAACTTTTGAAACAACCTGATAGTATCGTTCAGTAGTAGCAGGGGAGCCCACGATGCCCACATATTAGGTTGCAAAGCGTAGATGATGAAAGAAGAAAAAATGTTATATAATATATACCTTTTCATCGGTGGGGAAAGCGGCTATAGATTTTTAAATATGTAATCTGATCGTTTGCATGATGTGGGTGGTTGTACGTAAAGGTTAAAAGTGAAAAGAAAATGAATTAATCGAGCGCGTCAGATTTTCTAAGGGGGTGTTAAGTGCAACAAAAAAAAGCTCTCATTCAATAATCTGACACTTTCGATCTGACGCAAACTCGCGGCCATTATTATAATGTGCAAAAAAAGTCGCCATTTTGAAATACTCAAGCGCGTCAGATAAAGATATATATGGTTCATCTTTTACATTTATACATAAAAGGAAAAGAGTTAGCCAAAGGCTATCTTCCACCCTTCCCAAAAATTATACAGTAAGTATGTATAATCTGAACATTCAAATGGTAAAATTGTGTTTTCAGTTCGACCTTCCCGTTTGGAGTTGGATAACAACTTACAAGAGTAATTCATTTAAAATTGAAAGGGGTATGTTTTTAAATAAGATTATTTTTTCGGAAAGAAAGGTTTTAACTTTTCACTTCTGACACTGTTTATCTTTGTAGTACCAAAAATGTTATAGGATTGGATACAGTATTGAAATACTTTCCAAATTAGGAAGCAATCGACTATTATTTCTTTTTATTTTTGACATACGGGTTGTTGTGGAGAGGGTTGAGCAGCAAAGCTGACTTTTCGTAGAAATGTGCCCCACTGAAAACTGAAGATTACTTCTTTAACGATTTTTTTCCAGTCTCAATATCAAATTGCTCATTCAGAGTGCCTCGTTTCGAATACACGTTGTACACACTTATTTTCTTGCCTTAATGAAATGAATAAAAACACTTTTGTCTAATTTCCACTAGTTATAAATAATATAAAAATAAATAACTAGTTGAAATTACTCAAAAGTGTTGTTAATCATTTCATCGAAGTGATCATGACTTTCCACAAAATAAACAAGTCATCCATCACACATACTTATTTTCTTCATACTGCTTGTACCTTGAGTTTTGAGTCTTGTTTTTTATTTCAGTATTCCTGACATTCTGTCCAATCCTACTGTCCTCAAAATGTCTAAGAAGTATAATAAAACTCCAGCACAAATTTTGCTGCGACATATTCACCAGAAAAACATCGTTGTTATTCCGAAGAGTAAAAATCCAGAAAGGATAAGAGAAAATTTCAATATTTTCGACTTTCAGTTGGATTCCCAAGATATGAAGGAGCTGAACGACCTGAATCGTGATTTGAAATTATTGAATTTCGAACTAATGTTCAAGGGGTGAGTAATCACAAGTTTGAGAAACAACAACAGACATTAATGATAAGAGTGTTAATCAATTTATTTACATATGCAAATTCCAATTTCAATTACAAATCATTTTCATCAGAATTTTTGTAGACGAAGGATCCGCTCAATGAGTGATTTAACACTTGTTTCGAACAAATAGATACTGAGTAAGAGAGAAGATGACATCTCCCCTTACGAGAACGCCATCTATGGGATCGCAAGAAAAGCCCAAACAAAACGCTTTCATAATTAAACACTAGATAGCGCTGTTTCTTCCCGTCAGTGGTGTTAGGTTTGAAGACAACACAGATTACAACAACTACATTATTTAGATTTGAAACAGTATACTTAGTGGGAACAAATCCTTATGTGCCACAGTTGATGTCTAATGAAAATGAGAACTGTTTGATCAATAGTGAAGTTTTGTGATGAATTCTGAATTTTCAACAAGGATCCAGATTCATTCCAGATTGGAAAATTCTGTTATGGTAGAATTTGCTACATTTTGAGTTGCTATTCATGATTTTCTGTCCAACAGATGATCCATTCAAAAGTTACCTATATAATTTTTACAACTTATACTAAAATTCCATAAAAGTAGGCATTAAATTTCCAAAAATATTATTGAATTAAAAAGAAAACATTGTTGTCAGGTTTTGATCCCATATAATTTGTCATTCTGTATACTTTTTCAGATAATAAAATGTACAGAATCACAACCTGATAACAATATTTTCGTTTTGATGCAATAATATTTCTGCCTTAATAGTAGTGACTTGGTAAGAAAAACGATCTTGATTGAATGTGAAAAAATGTTGTATTTATTGAGAGATATATGCATAAATACAGATAACCTGACTTTTCCGAAAAAATAGCGATATAACACAATAAAAGTCAATAAACAAAAACAAAACACACAACCAAAAAATTCAATACACCGGCGACACATCACATGGGTGACTTGTCAATATATCACAAATCATGAATACTTCATCAGATTGTTAAGTTATTTTCAGCCAAATATATGATCCCTGTGTTGAAACATCCACCCTATTCACCAGATCTAGCTCCGTGTGACTTTTTTATGTTTTTAGATGTGAAGGAATTATTGGAAAGAACGGGGTTCAATGCTGTGAAAGCTAAAACGGAAAAATCGACCGAAACTATGAACGTGCTTTCAGAAAAAAATTTGAAACACTGTTTTGAACAGTAAAAAATTCCAATGAAAAAGTATAGGAATAGAGTATATTGTTGAGTTTGGGTGAACGTTATGAAAGACAAAAAGGTCAATCTGAAAATCCTGTAATTTTCTAGCCAAACTCTAATATTTTTAGAAATGATTTAAAGGAATGCAACAAAAACTGAATGAATGAATTAACGCGAACTCAGTATATGTTGGAGCAAACCTAACCTAGCCAGACATTATAAATACGTCTGGTATTGTTGAAAACAATTCATTATTTGCGAATTTGTTGAAAATTCAACCGTTTGACATGAGCATGTTCAATGAAACCAGAAATACTTGATAGATTCACTCATCTTACTGTGCTTTATAACCAACACCGATGCTTCATGATTTGGGAGATTATGTCGAACTCTCAATCCTCTAATAAGACCACTGGGACAACTACTGAAACTGACACACCATCCACTCCAAAGTTTTTTATGAATACAAATATTCATATTCATTCGGAAATTTGACTCTTCAGTAGTATTTGAATTCTAATTTTAATGTTATTTCATAGATCAGATCGTAAGTTACTGGAAACCAATCTTCAAACTGGTGGAGGGATTCTGCTTGCTTGCAAAGATTTTCTAAACAGTAAAAAAATTAACCTAGACTTATTCAAAAACAATCTACCAGCAATAATAGATATAGTGGGATGCAAATGTTCATACAGTCATGTTTCCTTTCATTGTGAGAGAGTCAGTTATTATAACCACACTTACCAAGTAGACAATGAATAGTTATATTATCAATTTTTTTCTTTTGTTTTAGTTTTCTTTCTTTTGTTTTCTATTCGAAGTTATATATCATCGTTATGTTATATTCATAAAGCATGTCAAGAATGAACATGATTTGTTAATTTATTTTATCTATTATCAGTACTGATGTATTTAATTATGTCCTGTAATTGGGTGTTACCTGTTGGGCAATAAATGATATTATTATTATTTGTACAATTGAACTCAACACCTGAAATAATTTTCAAAATCTAATAAATCATGTATTTTCAGGGTCAAGAAACATCCAGAATATCCATTCTAAGCGAATCAGGCGTGAGGAATCAACTGGAGTTCTCTGGATAGTTTCATTCAAATTCAAGACAGTTCATATTTTTTTCTAATAAAAAAACAGTTTTTCATGATGAATAAAAATTAAATCAATATGTGTAGCATTATTTATTTATTCACGACCTTTACAAAGTTCGATTTTTATAACTCATAACACTGGCTGACTGAAAAATATGTTTCAAATCAACTAGGTTTTTCAAAAAAGTGACTTTACAATTTTGTTAAGGAAGATAGCAATGAATAAATGGGGCTATCAATTGAATATCTGTGATTTCGGTTTCTCCTGGCATAGTATAAAGATATTGTATCGTTTATTGTATATATTGTATTAATACAATAACCTTTTGTTTGTTGTATTAGTTTAAAAATCTTCTTATAGGACGAAACTGCAGTGACGTTAGTTACAAATGAAAGTGGTAAAAAAGCATAGAAAGTTTCATTTGTCATTTTTCATGATGATCTCCTAACGCGTAGTAGGTTAGGTTAGGATAGATAGGCTACATCTATCAATTTATTGAATATTCTCAGATATAGAAAGACAAAATGTTTCTGAATATCACTGGTTTAAAGATATGAATTTATTTTTCATTATCAAAATAAAACTGTTATAATGGTCTTTCTTCTTGCCTCAAAAAATATTTTTCTTCAAAATAAGGTCTTTGAAAAAGACTTCTTGTAACCAATGTTGAAATAAAATGTTCATCAAACTATATAACTAAAAAATTTATTATTTTGAATATTTTTCACATTTCTCTTGAATATTATCCGGAAAATATTTTTGTACATATATTTTTTTTTCATTATTTGACAAAATTCACATATAAAATTAGTACGGGGCAGTTTTGAAAACAAAATATTAATGATGGAAGAGACGCAAATTAGTATGTGCCATAAAAATTTTATGTTCATTACAAGCTTTGATGACCTCCTCATCGTTGGTGGATCCTGAAGGACTGGCAATGAACAAAACTCCGCTTTGCCTTGCTCTGTCAATATTGTCTCTGAAAGGGAAGAAAGCGTCAGATCCCAAAGCGACTCCAGAAAGTTGGGTTTGCCAGGCTGCACGTTCCTCTTGGTTCAAGTCCACAGGTACTTCCTCGAACATTGATTCGAAAACAACTCTGCTCATATCTTTTCCAACATTACCGTTGACAAAATTATCAATAGCGTTAGAAATTTCTGCCCTCTTGACTCCTTTTTTGAACTTCATACCAATGACCCTAGGGTGCTGCCTCAGCCACCAGTTGTCTGCCTTTTCACCAGCTAAACGAGTGCAATGTATTCTAGACTGTTGGCCAGCCCCAATGCCAATAACTTGTCCATCTTTAGCATAGCAAACTGAATTGCTCTGGGTATATTTTAGAGCTATCGTAGCCACAATTAGATCTCTTATAGCTGACTCTGAGAGATCTTTGTTTTCAGTTACTACATTACTGAAAAGAGATTCGTTAATCACTGCGTTATTTCTGTGTTGTTCCAGAGTTAAACCAAAAATCATCTTTCTTTCGATGGGACTTGGAGTGTAGTCAGGATCAATCTGAAGAATGCAGTAACCTCCATTCTTTTTTTTCTTGAGTAACTCCAGAGCTTCTGGGCAATATCCAGGTGCGATAATTCCATCTGATACTTCCCTGGATATGATTTTAGCTGTGGAGTAGTCACAGATATCTGACAGAGCAATAAAGTCTCCAAACGATGACATCCTGTCTGCTCCTCGAGCTCTAGCATACGCTATACCAAGTGGGGAAAGAATTTCCAAAAGATCATCAACCATGCACAATTTCGCCTGCTCTGGGTTCAGAGGAATACCAACTGCTGCTCCTGCTGGTGAAACATGTTTGAAGCTAGTGGCAGCAGGTAGCCCAAGAGCAGTTTTCAGCTCTTTCACCAACTGCCACCCATTCAAAGCGTCACATAAATTGATGTATCCAGGAGAACCATTAACAACAGTTAAGGGTAGTCTTTCTAACTCAGTATACAATTGTGCAGGTTTCTGATGGGGATTCATGCCATACCTTAGGCTAATTTGAGATATATTCCTAGAGTATTGCTTGCGAAAGTAATCAGAGATAGCCGAATCATACTCAGAGGTGTGTGTGAATGCTTTCAAAGCCAGGGTTTGTCTGGTTTCAATACTCGTATCACCACTTGGATTGGTTTTCAGTTCATTGATAACCCTGGCATAGTCTGAAGGATCGACTATAACAGTTACTCTTGAATGGTTTTTTGCAGCAGCTCTCAATAGGGTAACCCCACCAATATCAATATTTTCAACCGCATCATCCACTGTAACATTCTCCTTCGACACAGTCTCCACAAAAGGATACAAGTTACAAACTACTAGTCTTACCATCTCGATTTTCTGTTTCATCAAGTCTTCTTGGTCTGAAGGAATTAATCTAGCTAAAATTCCTCCATGGACGGCTGGATGTAACGTTTTCACTCGACCGCCCAGGATTTCTGGGGCTCCTGATATTTCTGAAACATCTTTAACTGACAGCCCTGCCTGTCTCAACTGTGTTGCTGTGCCCCCGCTACCGACCAACTTGAAACCCAAGCTATTCAGGTTCTTTGCTAGTTCCACTAAGCCGGTTTTGTTGGATACAGAGAGCAGTGCTATATTACCACTTGTTGCCATTGTTTTATTATGATACAACCTCGGTTTAAATATATTGATTGACACTAAAAACTAGATGCTCCAAATTTCACGTTCGTAAAAGACAATTAACCTTAGAAACTGTAAACTTAGTTAAGGTTATGTCAGTCGGTGGTTTTGGCTTTTTCCACCGACATAACCTATAACGCGTTTTCTGTCTCTCTCTATCTACTTTTTTAATATCCATTGCTTTCCTCTCGGACGCGTTTGAACAGACTCACAAACCACCTACTAAGTAGTTTGTGAACAGACTCCTCCTGTAATAATTAACAGGAGCTTCGTCGGAGTAACAACGGTCTTGCTTTACGCAATGCTGCCACCGTATTTACTTTTCCATACTTTTTTGTAATGAAAAACTAAAGAATAATTATATAAATTTCGCCTCCTCATCAAGAGACCTCCATTCACATAAACATACATTTCATCGACATACCTTATAGGTTATGTCGGTGGTTGTGAAACTACTCAATATGCAACTTCTCCCTTTTTGACATATATGTAGCAGGTGATCCACTGATCTGCACGCACCCATTTTTGTAAGTAGCAACACTGCAGATCAATGATGAATAAGTAATTTGGCAATGTGGTGAAAAAATAAAAACAAGTCAAAGTTTGAAATTCAAAATTTCAAGGAATGTCTTCTCCGGCCCCAACATCTCCTGATCTTAGCGAAAAAAGTAAAAAATACGATAGACAAATAAGGTAATTCAATAAGTGCTCCTGAGGGTATTGGATTTATTTCGTTTTTGTAAAAATATAGGTTATGGGGCGATCATGGCCAGAAATTATTAGAAAACTCAAAAGTTTGTCTAATAAACGCCACTGCATTGGGTACAGAACTGCTGAAGAGTCTCGTTTTGCCAGGAATTGGATCATTCACAATTGTTGATGGGGAAAAAGTTACAGAAGAAGATCTCGGTTCTAAGTAATATCTCATTAAGTGTTGTCACTCTGTTCATGGAAGATTATATTTTAGTTTTTTCTTGGACACCGACTGTCTTGGTTTATCTAGAGCCCAAGTTGCCACACAGTGTCTGTTAGAATTAAATCCCGATGTTCGAGGTGACTATATTGACGAATCCCCAGAACATGTTATGGCCCACACGCAAGACTTTTTCAACAAATTCACAGTTGTGATTGCAACTGCTTTGCCAGAAAAGTAAGTTGCATTTATACTGGTTCACATTTGGTGTGTTTATTTTTGGATTTCATTTCCTTAAAAAAATGTTAAGTGAAAATGCCAAGAATGATTTTTCAATTCTACATGGTTAGTTGATTATTGAAATGTTATCATCTGAGGGTAATATTCAAATTTTTCTAAAAGGTAATTTCTCATGTCATTTTCACATTTGAAAATTTCTTTTCCTTCAAATAATATTGAAAAAGTAGAGAAATTAAAAGGTAGTTCTTGAAAGTATAGAATAGAATTTATTTATGATCAAAAATTTTACAATTGCATTGCATTACATAACACTTATAAAATTTTTTCAGACTACCTAGTCAAACGTGAGCACTAGGCTATATATAAAATATAAATAGATACATACATGTACATTACAAAAATAAAAGAAAAGCATCTTAGTGACTTATATTAGGAGATTGAAAATTCTTGCTTCTATTTTGGATTGCTTACTCTAGTTCATTAAATTGAGGACAATATTTTTTCATCATCTAGAGCAGGGTTTCCCAAACTTCTTGTCCAGTGTACCCCTATTAGACTTTCCAGCCCATAGCAAATCCCTTAAAAAATCTGGCATTTCATTAAAAAATAATACAAAAAAGCAATTGATACATCCGTTCAGCATTCGATAGAACAAATAAGGTGTTTTATTGCCTTGGGGTCTCGAGATCGATTCCTGGGTCAGGCAAAGTATTGGGTATTTTTCGGTTATTAAAAAATTCTTAGTAGTAGCAAGGAGTCTGGAACTGTGCCTGGTGTATGGCAATAGGCTCACTCCCTATTACATGGGACTAATAACATAACTGGTAAAAAGTGGGAAATAACAGGTGCACTGACATTTTTGATTTCATGATTTCATTGCTCTATTTGCACTTCTGAACATATCACACACTGTATTGGGATTCTTCTTTGCACATAAATCCAATTTTCCAATAGTTTTTTTCATCTTTTTTTTGATTTGCTGATGAAATGTCTTTCTGTGATTAGCTTGTTTTCGCAAAAGTATTGTTTGAAATTGAACTTTCATCTGAAGTAAACCCAATAGGACTCGACGTAGTTTGTACATTTTGAGCACTGGTTGACAAAAATTGATTTTCGGGACATTTTTGGCGTAAAGAACTAGTTTTTTACTGGGCAACTTAGCCGCCTCCATTACATGAACTTAATCGCGTACCCCCAGACTCAATGGTGTACCCCCAGTGGTATGTGTACCCACTTTGAGAAACCCTGATCTAATCAATGGTAAATAGGTTTCAATTTTGATTTTTTTTTCATTTTCAGTAAATAGTTACAGTTAATGTTGTTCAACATTGCATAGTCTCAAAAAAAATTAAAAAGCACTGCATTATTATATAGCAATAACAATAAATTAAAATATTTCTCATGAAAAAAACTATAGAATTGGTGGTGTTCCTATAGAGATTCTATAGAGATATATCTATAGATTGAAATTGAATTAAATTGGGAATGATTGCAATAGTATTCATCTATTCATTTTTTTAGTTTCATGAAACTATTTTCTAGCTTCTTGACTGCATTTACCTTTCTTGATTGATGTATGTGTCATTTTCACCATCTGGGGACCATATTTCTCAAAATAACTTAGAATTCATTGAGTTATTTTGTTCTTTATTTACCAATGTGTAACATTTTTCATTAGGTGTTTTGTGTTTCAGGGCCCCTATCAGATAACAAATTTTGAATAAGACTTGAAGATATTTTTCAGTCTTTTTCATTAGTCAATTATCTCATAAATATGATGATATTTTTTACAAAGTTTGATAGCAGACAGTTTCGTTCATTTTAAACCCTCTACAGTTATATTCTGCAGTACGGCCATGCATTTTGGAACGTGAGTAGGTGATTTGTATTAAACCAAACATTTTTTGTTCTTCCTAATATGAAAGTCTACTGTATATTCTTTTTTTTTTTCAAAACAGTATAATTACAGTTGAATACTTTCATAGATGGTAATAAAAAAGAAACAGTTATATGCATTTAAACTAAAAATCATCACATTTGTTGAAAGTTTTTCATTTATTTCTATAACAAACGTGGAAAATATTTTTAAATGCGCATTTTTTAGATTACTTGTTGTTATGAAATTTAATGGTATCAGTCTGATTTGGAATATCCTTCACAAATGGATCTTTTTTTAAAATGTTTCCTGTTATATGTTGCAAAAGAAGTATAGTATTGGCAAAGTTTATGCATGATAGTCTCGTTCATTCAGCGGCACGAGGACATATCGAGTTCAAATTTTAGGTTATTTTCAAATTTGAATATTTCGACCAAAAAATAGTTTTGTGATATCTTTCTCACTGTTTTGAGATGTCTGAAGACTACATTAATTATTAGAAAGGGTGAAAAAAATTAATGCACGTTATCTACTCATATAACATAATTACCGAACGGAACCATGCGAGACCTGAAATAACCGAACGCAGGTTATTTTGTGATTTTAAATCACCATACAGAAGTTTTTGTTTAATTGTGTACGGTAGTTGAATCATTACACAACTTATGAACTAGTAATACATATTCTACAGGAAAATGAGAATATCACCCCATAATAATTATTAATGTATTTCTTCACTCTATCATAATTCATAACATAACCTTTAAAAATTTCAACAGGAACACAGCATACATTGCCACAAGTTATTAAGTTGGACATTGGACTGAGAAAATAAATAAGTTATATATTAATTCATAAACTAACTACAGTTTATGTCTATATTTACAACTTATTTTGAACATTACCTGCAAAATGGCTCTTCGATCTCTCAGTAAACTCAAATTGAATAAATCTCTAGTCAGATGCTTTAGTGCTGAACCAAAATTAGTTTCACTTGACGTTAACGAGAAAACTGGATTTGCAACACTCAACATGCAGAGACCACCAGTGAACAGTCTCAACCTGGAACTTTTGACTGAAATAACGGCTGCGTTAACAGAAGCTGAAAAAATCAAGTGCAGAGGCATGGTCCTCACTTCTAAAAGTGATGGCGTTTTTTCTGCCGGTTTAGATATCATGGAAATGTACAATCCCGAACCTGAAAGGATGAAAAAATTCTGGATGGCTTTACAAGATGCCTGGATAAAATTGTACGGAACTTCATACCCTACCGTAGCTGTTATCAATGGTCACTCTCCGGCAGGTGGTTGTTTACTAGCTCTCAGCTGTGAGTATAGAGTAATAGTTCAAAACTACGGGATAGGTTTGAACGAAACCCAGCTCGGTATAGTAGCCCCAACATGGTTCATATCCAGCATGAAAAATGTTATTGGTCAACGTAAAAGTGAAATAGCCCTCACGACTGGTCACATACACAGTGCAGATGAAGCTCTTCAAATAGGTCTGGTAGATGAAGTGGTTGCTGATAAAGAGGAAGCCATCGCTAGAGGGGAAGCTTTTCTCAAGAGATTTGGCAAAATTCCTCCTCTTGCAAGGTCATTAACAAAAAAATTTCTGAGGCAGGCGACTATTGATGATTTGGTGAACAATCGGGAAGCCGATTTGAATAGATTTGTTGATCTGGCTTTGTTGCCCGAGGTTCAAAAATCACTGGGAGCTTATATACAAGCTTTGAAGAAAAAGTCTTCGAAATCGAATTGATTATTTTTTCACCCAAATGTTTTGTAGTTTGACAAGAAAATAACGGTATCCAACAAAATGGAACTATGCTTCTGAAAATACTTCTTGGGAAATTTTTACTCTCATTTCATTATTGGGTACAGGTTCATTGTTGAAGTTGAATTTCAAAGGATAGTAAGAAGTATTATGAAAATAATCACAAATNTTTTAAATATACACAAGAAGGGCTGCTACACCAGATATTTCTTGTATTTTTTGTACTGTTGATGAAAATAAATAGTTCAAAAAAATATGGTAACTTGATTATTCGACATGAATGTTTTGAGTTGTGAAAGTATTTGATATGAATAGGAAAGTGATATGAATAGTGAATGGTGGGCTCTAGATAGAAGAAGTAATTTTTTTTCTCTTTTGGGTGTCAATTTTGTGTTCTGGTTGGGCAATAGTAATAACTGCCGAGCCAACTAGGAAGCGTAATTGCTATTCGCAGTCCATCGGCCATGTAACGTAGAATCATCCCAACTTCAAATAAATGAATTTTGTTGAAAGATATCTAGTTGAGATATAGATAGGTATATTCATTTATTACCAAAGTTTTACATATCTAGTATGACATTATCTTCTTAAAATGTATAACAATTAAGAAATACAATATTTATCCTAGAAATCCAAGAAGATATAAGAATATTCGAGATGTAGTGATTAAAAAACAGGTTTACTGTTCCTTGTAATTGTCTTATGATAAGCATGCACTACCCAGTGGTGATATGTACGAACATTCCAAGTTTTGGATCAGTATATACTCAAAGAAAGTTAGCAAATCTCACTTGCTCTATANAAGAGTTGTATTAAAAATTAAAAAAAAATGAGCTTGGGTACCTACAATGTAAACCTTTTTATACTTCAAATTCAAAAACACATAGGTAAATGTAATTTTGAAAAGTTGACATACAACTATACCAGATTATAACGATATCATGGTACACGGTACCATCCAATGATGTAAGAAATTGTAAATTCGGAAAAAACATATACCTAGATTTAGATCATTGAAGCCGAAGCCTGTCAGTATGCAATGACACTTTTTGAAATATGTATTGAAATAAATTACTTCAATGAAAAACTAATCAAAACGAAAATTTTTCAAATCTGATTTATTTCATTGTACCTAATTGATCTTAGTCTTCAGGAAACGTCATTCCCAGAAAACAAGTGTCCTCATAAATATTACTGCAGTTTAATCACACCACCAAACCGTTATTTTTTAAATCTCGACACGTGTTTCAGTCACCAAGTAATCATCTTCAAGAGGAAGATCTTCAAGATAATACTCCTTATTGACCTACGACCACTACGCCACGGTAATCGAAGGAAACAGTGAGCAAAACCTAGAAATTTGATCGAACTTATTTTTTGTTTGTTTTGGCTCTCCTAAGCTCTTCCATTTGGTTTCCATATCACTACCATTCGTTACCAGATATGACCCTATTAAGAAAATCTGGATCGCCGTTGACGTTATTCAAAAAGTAACAAAGTAACTACATATTTTTCAGGCTCATTTTTACAGGGTACCCAGTATATACATTGCTGACTAAAAAACAACAAATAATAGAATAACTTTTTATCTGAAAATTTTCATTATTGAATAGTACTAGCCGATACTTGATGAAAATCCATATTATAACTCATACAGTTTATTGTATGATTTTCACTTTGAAGGGTTTTACGAAAATTGCTACACGTGTTTCACTGTACAATAGCTTTCTCAAGCGTGAAATAATAATAATAATAATTTTTATTATCTTGTAAGACAATCAAAATGGTAAATTGTGTAGGATTGGTCAGAAAAGAGCTTAAAAGTAAACCTAAAAGAGTAACGCATTCATTGAATTTTTCATATTATTGTTCAATAATTTCCTGAAGGGAGTAATAGGTTTTCTCTAGTAGGAAAGACTTAAGTGTGATTTTGAAGCTGTGGATAGTACTAGAGTTTTTCAGTTCAAGTGGTAGCAGATTTTATGAAAGTCTGTCTTGCACCTGGTATCAATAGAATTCTCATTTTCATTTCTTATGAAACAGTAACGGTTATCATATATCAAAACATAATTCGAATATATACAGGCAGCATCAATGTTTCAAAATTTAAAAAAATGCTTTTACAGCTGGTATTTCTTGAGACTCCTGCTATACATACATCTTATAATCTTTTTCTGGGTGACAAAAACATCTTTGCATGAAGAGGAAGCTCCCCAGAAAGTAATACCATACCGAAGACGCAATTCAACTTGAGCATGATACAACATAATCAGCTGTTTCTGGTCGAAAATATTACGAAGGTTTCTCAGAAGATAATTCATGAAGTTCAACTTTGATATAACTGTTCAACAATGAGTTTTTCAGCTGAGAAATTCATCCAAGTGTACACCTAAAAACTTCACCGTAGAGCAAGGAGAAACTTCATCATCTTCAATTCTCAAGTTGAAACTGGCTATTTCTTTTTGTCTAGCATGAAATCTTATCAAACGTGTTTTATGATTATTCAAATGTAGGTGTAGGTAGGTGTTTAATATTTGCAGGATTAAGTTACCTTTGGTTTGTAGATTTTGATCTATTTTATCTGATATAGATAACCATCTGCATTTAGTGTAAAATGAGCATATGTAGAGATGGATTCCGTATTATTTACATATAATAAAAAAAGCATAGGGCCCAACACTGATCCCTGTGGGACACCTGCATTAATATCCACATAATTGGATTTATATAACTCTCTCACATTATTATTATCATTGTGATACTGACATATTGCTTCCGTGTTAAGACAAACGTTTTCAGCCGGTTAAGTCCATTTGCTTGTATGCCAATATTTGGAGTTTTATGTAAAGATAAATAGCAAACAAATATCACCAAAAAGCTGATACAGGCTTTCTTCAATAATTGAATAGAACTGGCCGATACTTGATGAAAATCCATATTGAAACTCATTAATACAGTTTATTGTATGATTTTCACTATGAAGGGTTTTACAAAAACCGCGAAAATATAATTGGGTTTTTTATTTTGATTATTGTTGAAAGTTTATTGCGTATACTTCTATCTTTTCATTTTATATAAGTATGTTTTATCTTTTTCTCTGTTCACAATGTATTTTCACTGTACTAGAAACTGAAACTTGTCTGAAAAAAAGATGCTTCAGCTCTCATTAATTTCTTCTTCCGTAGAACTCTCATTCCTTTATCTAAACATCTTTGGGATTCAGGCGTTCCGCTGGTAGTATGTCGCAGTATAGGATTTATGGGATACATAAGATTACAAGTGAAGGAACACACAGTGATCGAGTCGCATCCGGACAACTCAAAACCAGATCTCAGATTACTCACACCTTGGCCAGATCTTCAAGAATACTTGGAGAGTATCAATGTGGCAACGCTTGATCAAAAAACTCGCAGTCACACTCCGGCATTGGTTATTTTGTATTACTATTTGAAGAAATACAAAGATTCTCACAATGGTAAGTGTATTTTTTAATGAGATATGGTTAGGTTACTTTCATTCGTCACAGGCATAAACTAGATTTAACAAATCCATATGATTTTTAGTCAACCCTAACCTTAAAATGATACGTGTATAAATTTCACAGCTGTTGGACTATTAGTTTGAGAGGTAGAACATTTTGAGTGAAGCAACTATTCTTAGTTTGAAGAGAATGTATAATAAAGAATTTTGTGTGTTAAATAAAGCATTGCCTTTTTGGGAAAAAAGAACTCTTGAATCCAAAACTTGACGTGTTAAACATTATTGGGACTTTGCACTAGTAAAGTCAACCATTGAGAAGTGGTTTTGTAAGTTTAAACAAGGTGAAATGAGTATCAAAGACGTCCCAAACAGGCTATTACCGATGAAAACATCAAAAAAGTGAAATAAAAACTGTTGAAGCCAAGACTTCACTTGTTAAACATTATTAGGACTGTGCACTACGAAATTCAACCATTGAGAAGTGGTTTTCTAAGTTTAAACGAAGTGAAATGAGCACCGAAGACGATGCATGCAGTGGACCCCCAAAGAGGCTGTTACCGACGAAAACATCAAAAAGGGCTCTATGTTAGGCTACGGATTTTTCTACCCAACGTTACCAATCAGATTGCTCAAAAACAGTGCAGTATTTATTTTATTTTTATATTCCCTCCAGCATCATATGTAACTTACAACGTATAAATGAATCAATCCAAAGGAAAACACTTTTTTGTGTACATTTTTTGAGCGAGACATTCCAAAGGTAACTATATTTTGTATAACCAAACTCAGTCATAACCATGAATAAAAATTAAGGAGTGTCCTGATGAAAACGGCATTAAAACATTAGAGGAAAATTTCACAGAAGCAATACATTCTGTTAATTATTGTTTTGGTGATAACGGTATTCCAGACCATGTACAGGTAATAAGAATATTATTATTGGTGTAGTGAGAATGGGTGCAGTAGAGAATTGATTGGAGTTCAGTTGATACAATCCCGAAATGAATATGAAATGAACATCACTCGTTGTCTATCATTGCTTGCATTCCATGTCTCAACTATGTTTCAATTTCAGAAAATCTTAAGCGACGATTGCTGCCTGAATCTGACTCAGAAAAGCTCACCTTTCTGGGTCATGACTGCGGCTCTCAAAGAGTTTGTTCTAGCCGAAGGAGATCTTCCTATCCAAGGTAGTTTACCAGATATGGCAGCCGATACCTTGAGTTACGTAACATTACAGCAGCTGTACCATAAACAAGCCCAGTCTCAAGCTGAGGTGGTATACAGGAGGGCGTCGCAAATCCTGAATGTCCTGGGTCTTCCACAAGAGACTATCACAGAAAGTGAGGTTGGTATAAATGAAATGCAAATGTAAATGTTTTTTAAAAGCTTTTATTTAACTTGACTTGTATGTATGTTAACAAATCTTGCAAGTTTAATTAAACCCACTTCCCGGTATCCGATTGACCTGAAATTTTGCATGCTGGTCCAGAATCGATCGCAATGCATGTTAATCATAAACGTGACCTGATGCTGCTGCCAGGATCGGCTCCTCAGCGATATACGCATTCGTTTATGATAGGCAGTTGGTAGGCCCACCATGAAATAGATGCCACATCCATGGTTGACTTCAATAAAAAGATATATTTCCAGAAAAAAAATTATCCTACTTCCTTACCTCTAAATACCTACTTCCCGACTCTAAAAAGAAGACAATAAATGGTGTAGTAGGTTGTAAGAACCCATATTATTATCTACCACCCTCTAAGTTCCCAGAGTAAGAGGGTCCATCACGCAATGTGAGAAACAGGCACAAGAGGCATACCATGACTTGTGGGCGTCATTAGCATTGGTCTGCAACCCTTCTAGGAGAAGGAAAACTCCAGAATCAAACCCGGAACGGTGTTTCGTCAGGCACGAGTAATCTCCAAGCTGAAAAAAGTGGCGCATCTTCCACCAACTTACCACCCAAGTCAAGGTGAGGCCGTGCCGAGGACTGAGTGGCATCAGGGTGTGAAATGATGTCGTGAACGTACCACCTCAGGGCACCGGAGCGCATCCTGATGTATATTAGCTCTTACCCTGCTAAATGAAGCTCTGGGAGGAGGAGTAGGTATCTACCTACTTCTATACAATATAGTTTATCCTAATATTAGTTCTCCCCGTTTCTTAAGTTTTTTTGTTGAAGGACTCTCCGTTTTATAGATGGACTTTCGTATTGATCGTTTTTATATAAGTATGTTTTATCTTTTTCTCTGTTCACAATGTATTTTCACTGTACTAGAAACTGAAACTTGTCTGAAAAAAAGATGCTTCAGCTCTCATTAATTTCTTCTTCCGTAGAACTCTCATTCCTTTATCTAAACATCTTTGGGATTCAGGCGTTCCGCTGGTAGTATGTCGCAGTATAGGATTTATGGGATACATAAGATTACAAGTGAAGGAACACACAGTGATCGAGTCGCATCCGGACAACTCGAAACCAGATCTCAGATTACTCACACCTTGGCCAGATCTTCAAGAGTACTTGGAGAGTATCAATGTGGATAAGCTTGATCAGAAAACTCGCAGTCACACCCCGGCATTGGTTATTTTGTATTATTATTTGAAGAAATACAAAGATTCTCACAATGGTAAGTGTATTTTTTAATGAGATATGGTTAGGTTACTTTCATTCGTCACATGCATATACTATTTTTATCGAATCCATATGATTTTTAGTTAACCCTAACCTTTATAAGACACATGTACAAATTTCACAGCTGTTGGACTATTAGTTTGTGAGATAGAACTTATTGAGTGAAGCTTGTATTGTTAGTTTGAAGATAATGGAAAATAAAGAATTTTGTGTGTTAAGTAAAGCATTGCTTTTTTGGTGAAAAAAAACTCTTGAATCCAAGACTTGATTTGTTAAACATTATTCGAACTTTGCACTAATAAATTTAACTATTGAGAAGTGGTTTTCTAAGTTTAAACAAGGTGAAATGAGTACCAATTGAAAGACGTCCCAAACAGGCTATTACTGACGAAAACATCAAGAAAGTGAAAAAAAAACTGTTAAAGCCAAGGCTTCACTTGTTAAACATTATTGGAACTTTGCACTAGGAAATTCAACCATTGAGAAGTGGTTGAAGTGGTATTTGATATGTCTCCATATTAAAAGTCTGATTTTTGTGCAACTATAAATGTTGTGACTAATAAATACCGTTTTATCTATATTTAGTCTAATAAAAATATGTTACTTATTTAATTTATGTGCACATTCTTCAAAATAGAAAATTTTGATGACAATCCATATTCAGTATTTTTTTCATAAAACTCCAAAACAAAGTTTCATAGTGTTCCTATTTTCAGGAAATGTACCTAAAACAAGAGCAGAAAAAGAAGTGCTTAAAAAAATGATAAGGGAAAGTCCAACTCCTGACGAGCACGGCATTAAAACATTGGAGGAAAACTTCACAGAAGCAATACATTCTGTTAATTATTGCTTTGGTGATACCGGTATACCAGAACATGTACAGGTAATAAGAATTGGTGTGTGAGAATGGGTGCAGTATAGAATTGATTGGAGTTTAGGTGATACAATCCCTTAAAATAATGGAAACACAACGTAATAGCAATGATCATACATATTATTGAAGTTTCCGAAATGAACATGAAATAATCATCACTTGTTGTCGATCATTGATTCCATTCCATATTTTAACTTTTTTTTCAATTTCAGAAAATCTTAAGCGACGATTGCTGCCTAAATCTGACTCAGAAAAGCTCACCTTTCTGGGTCATGACTGCTGCTCTCAAAGAGTTTGTTCTAGCCGAAGGAGATCTTCCTATTCAAGGTAGTTTACCGGATATGGCAGCCGATACCTTGAGTTACGTAACATTACAGCAGCTGTACCATAAACAAGCCCAGTCTCAAGCTGAGGTAGTATACAGGAGGGCGTCGCAAATCCTGAATGTCCTGGGTCTTCCACAAGAAACTATCACAGAAAGTGAGGTTGGTATAAATGAAATGCAAATGTAAATGTTTTTTTAAAAGCTTTTATTTAACTTGACTTGTATGTATGTTAACAAATCTTGCAAGTTTAATTTGACCCACTTCTTGGTATCCGATTGACCTGAAATTTTGCATGCTGGTCCAGAACCGATCGCAATGCATGTTAATCATAAACGTGACCTGATGCTGCTGCCAGGATCGGCTCCTCAGCGATAAATAGCAGGAACACGAAATTTTGTATACGCATTCGTTTATGATAGGCAGTTGGTAGGCCTACCATGAAATAGATGCCACATCCAGGGTTGACTTCAATAAAAATGTTAATGTGATTTAAAATTTTATTTTGGTCTTTTTAGGACACTTGAATTAAAGCTTGTTTTAAAAGTTTTTTATCATTATTGCTGTCAGTTGTAAAGATGAGTTACATACATTGGTTGCTTGAGGAGTCTTCGGTATGTCTTGTTGATGACTTACTGTTTCTGTTAGGAAGTAATCCTCTGGAAAACAAGAACCTGCAAACAATTTACCCAGTTATTATAGGCATCTATGGAGTTTCTCCTCAGTGAAATCAAAAACTTCAATAACTTTTTGAAATGAATCATATGTGGAGGACAAATTACTAGTTGTCTAGTTATTTGCTAAATAGATCACAAATCACCAAAGATAATAATGCTAAATCAAGCAAATAGTGTAGATGCGGATTGGCTGTCCTTGTTCATCTTTCACTGCCTGAACAACTGTGCATGCTGCTTTTGGCAAGTGCGTTGACTAAGGATGTGGGAGTTGAGAACCGACCATTGGATGCCTGCTTCCACGTAGCCCCGCTGTAAACGGGAAAGACAGAATCACTTGTGGTTCTGTTATTCTGTGGCATCCCAACGATGGCCTAATCATAAGGTGTGTGTATTCGTGCCGAAAGGATGAATGACACTGAGCCTATCAGCTGTCTCTACGGAACCTTCGAGATACCGGGCGCCCTCTCGTCGTAGCCTTGTCACGGTGATGCGGGGCTCTACCGTGATTGACCTTCTTTCCCTAGCGACTTGTGGGACTTTTATGGACAGAGTAAACTTAATTTTTTTTTTCTGACGCTGAGTCTACAGAGGACATGAATGTCGAGCTCACGACTACAACTGACCTCCCTGTAAATTTAGATCAGGAGCGAGAGCTTCTCAACTCTCCAACTCCTAATCCAATAACTGAAGCTAAAAAAAAAGGTTTGGAGGTGCAGCCAGGAAACAACTGAGTCGTCTCCTCAAGAACAGGGTACCACCTTATGAAACCGCTTCGTCAAGTGTAGCTGACGTATAGAAACCCTCATATGGGAAGGTTATCGCGGATATCAAGGTGGGAATCTTGCACCTTGAGTATCTCATTAACGATGAAACAGCAGAGCATATACTTTGTGCCTGCTCCGCTGGGGACCGCATCAGGTTTTTAGAGTTCGGCAAAGCCGTTCTCTTACCATCTTACCTGAAAGACCACTCACCACACAAACTAATCGGCTTAGTTAAGAAGCTGGGTTTATTTTATTTGGTCGAGTGTGAATAGGTGTGAGCCACAATAAACCGTTGCGGATTGCGGTGGAGGGTCGAATAGATCCACTCACTTTGTACCTAACATAGTGTAGATCCTCCTTAAGGAAGTGTGCTTGGACCTTTACTCTTCATTTTTTATCTGAATGACATCAAATTTAATTGACAATTATGAATTCATGTAGAGTCTTCACAAAAAGGGTTAGTCATCGAACTAGGCAACCGATTTAAATGCTTTATTTTATTCAAATTATCATTCCCAAATATGAACTATTTTCATATACTACACCTTACGATTTGATCTCCACAAACTTTATTTTTATAAAATATCACATGTTTCTTCAACACAGTAGTTCTTTCATAGTGAATTACGTATTTCAAATTAAGTTTGAGATCGAATCGTAATGTGTAGTATAGATCTTCATCAAGTAATGGCCGAATCAATCAGAGAAATAAAAGAACAAATTTTCAGGTAAAATTATTTTGTAAACATGCCAGAGAACTCCACGTCATACGAGGCAGCTGCATCGCTTACGAATATGAACGTACAGGCCTTGATTTGTCTTCCTACCTAGAGGATTCAGACAGTCTGATATTTTATTACGTTATCCTACGTGGCCTAGAGCGTTTTATAGGTGAATTCAATACCTATCCTGGCCAGTTCGAAGACCAAGTGGAACCCGACGTTTCGAAGTTGAAGAACATCATTGGGAAACTTTTGTCGGACTGGAGCTGCTCTCACATTCTGAGTGACGAGAAGGTACTGGAGGTGTGTAGGTATGGCGGAGCGGAGTTGCACTCAGTGTCCGCCATTTTAGGGGGTTGCGCTGCTCATGAAGTTATAAAGTTGATTACGCATCAGTATAAGCCTCTCAATAATGTGTTTGTGTATAATGCAATTACTTCCACTTCCGCAACTTTTTGTCTGTAAAATTCAGTTTTGGGTTTTGCATCAGGTTTTTGATACTATTTTACCAGCCTAGTCAAGTAACTTGTCTAGGCTAGGTGATTTTTCCAAGAGTAAGAAAGAAAACTGCATTATTTTATTGTTGTTTGTAAAAAAATGATTGGAGGTATGCTGAGAAATAAATTTAGATACATAACTCTTGCTTTATTCAATCAATCACTTCTACTTGGGCGATACTGCCTTGGGACAAGTCAAAAGTAAAAGATATACATGTAAACTGTTGAAAAGAGAATAGATGGCGTGCATATTACTCAAAGAAGGGGGAGCAAAATCGCGGCCACGAGGTCAATAGCCAAAAACACAGTTTTGCCTCCCTTTTTTTGAACCTACAGTTTACGTGACCTTAAACGGTAGAATGATTATTGGACACAATATATATAAGTGTAGAGACAATAAAATAATCCAGGGCACTAACGAACAAATAATGCTTCATCTTTAAAAACATCTGTTGTTCTCTGATGAGGAAAAACTGATTATGTGAAAATGTCAAAATTGAAGTTGTCAATTATCATCCATTAGGAAGATTTGTCGCTAGTAACTTGCTGTATATGAAAAGCAGAAATTAATTTCATGTAGTCGGGATGATTAAGGGTTCACAGCTTATTATTTTCTGTTGAAATTATTCCTATGTTTGTGGATTTCTATTGCCTCCTGTACCTGGTCGGGGGGATTAAGTTCCATGTTTTCAAATAGAATCCTGTGGTTTCCTTCACTGAGTGCGTGTTCTGCCACAGCCAAGTTGTCCGTTTGGCCCAGTCTGTAGTTTCTTTCATGCTCCTTCAACCTTGTTCCCATGGATCTTTTGGCGGTTCCTATGTATACTTTCCCACAGGTTCACGGTGCTAATAATGGGTTCCTTTTGTCTTTAGCCAACCCGAGGCGTTGTATGGTGGTGGTTTTAAAAACCGTTATCATGTTGTGTTTTCCCAATAGTTTTTCGATTTTGTACGTGACCCTAGGGATATAACTTCAATTCTGAGCCATCTCCCCATTTTAAGCCGCAGGACTCTTCATTTCCAAAGCTTTGCTGATATAGGGTACACTGTATCCATTCGATCTCAAAGACACTTGAAGATGTTCCAGTTCTTCTAAATGCTCTGGTCCACATATTCTTTGAGCCCGTCCCGTTAGAGTGGAGATGACTCCTCTCTTTTGACTAGGATGGTGGTTCGAAAGTGCGTGCAAGTACCTATCCATGTGCGTAGGTTTTTGATATACTTTGTGGGTTGGTCTAGCACCACGTCTTTCTATTAGTACATCTAGGAATGCTATCCGCTGGTCCTGTTGAATCTTCATGGCGAACTTGATGCTTGGGTGTTGAGCGTGTACCCGAGATCAACAAAGCTATGAAATTGAAGAGTTCTATGGCTCAAAACTAGGAGAAGGCTCAGATAGTTACACGCGCATATCTACTTTATATCCCTAGGGTCATGGACAGAATTGGAAAACGGACAAGTCAGCTGTCGCAGAGCACGCGCTTAGTGAAGGAGACCACATAATTTTGTTTGAAAACACAGAACTAATTGCCCCCAACCAGGGATACTATAGCCGACTGGTACGGGAGGCAATAGAGATCCACAAACACACGGATAATTTTAACAGAAAAGACGAAGCTGTGAACCTCAATCAAACTTATTGAACGTCGTTGGGAAAAGTGTATAGAGCTGTAAGGAAATTATGTTGAAAAATTAATAAATTTTTGTGTTTTCTTTGTTGGGCCAGGTACTTCTGGGACCACAGTAAGCCATTACGGCTACTGGGGATACTGAAGAGAACATTTTACAGAATTTATTTATGTATATGCACGGGCAAGCCCAATTCAGATATAAGTAGTACAGTGCTACGTAGTACCTGATTCAATACAGTGGATTAGTAAATTATAAGAATAATACAATTTCAAAGTAAGAATAAGTAGATTATTTTAGAAAAATTAAAATGTACAACAATATGAACTAATATAATTCTTACAGGCAAGTAATACTAGACAGAAAACAACAACACAAACAGAAAGTATTAGATGACTAGGTGAAGAATATGGTTTTCAAAGCGGAAAACTGATATATTAAAGATTTGAAGGTTATTTAAAGTGTTAGCCAATCGAAGAGTTCTGGGAATAAAGCTGTTGTATGAATAATTGAATCTGTGAAAAGAAACGTAAAACGTTTGTACCTGTCTAGTTGAATGACTGGGAACATGTAAAGATATTTTGGAGAGTAGCTCGGGGCAGATACTCAGTCTGTTGATAATTTTGAATAGAAGTATTAAGATATGTTCAAAATGCTTTTGAATTACAGCGGAAATGTGTGATTTATAGCTAAGTGTGGAGTCTAGGATCACACCTAGATCTTTGGTTTCAATAGCAAAATGTAAGGTCCAATTATTTATACTATACTAGTACTATGTTGCGTATCACTGCTGTCCCAATGTTTTATCAGAATCAACGAACTTAGGCGTGCGCAGCGTTATAGAACAGTGCTTTCAAAAAATTGTTCTACAGCGCCATCTAGTGGCGAGTTACGGAAAAATTGATAGCCTAGAAACCTTCTCTATGAAAAATTACTTATACATGTCAAGTTTCATCACGATCGGTTGAGCGACGTAGAAGTTTATCACTTACCAACCAAACATCCATTTTCAAGCAAATACCATTTTGCGAATACCAGTAAGATAGGCAATCTATATTGTTTTGTAGACACAACGTATCAGCTTCACTTTTAATTATTTTAAAACATTTTGAATCGTCGGCAAATAGCAAAGTTTCGCTATCATGGAAACAGCTGATTAGATCATTGATAAAATGATTTAACAACAATGCTCTCAAATGTGAACCTTGTGGAACACCCGATGTAACTGCAATGGTATGAGAATAGTAATGCTTAACTCCAACAAATTAGTTCCTGAGCCACTGCAATATTTACCTATCAACACCATATAAACAGAGTTTATGGATTAATAGCTCATGATTAACTTTGTCAAAAGATTTGGAGAAACCAGTGTACACAGATTCAACTTGCAAATCCTTAGAGCGTCAGACAAAAAAATCAACGTAGTTAATCAGACCCAGTTCAGCTGACTTTTTGGATGTGAATCCAAATAGTTGGGTCTCTATAATTGGAAAGCAGTCATAAGTAAGGTAATCAAAAATGATGCTCTCAAAAGTTTTAGGGATTGCGCTAAGAATAGAAATGGGACTATAATTACACACGTTGGAATTTCGGCCTGATTTATATATATTGGGGTGACATGAGGTTTTCCAATAATCCGGAAATTCGCCAGATTATAGGGAATTATTAAATATATAGAAAAGTGGTCGAGCTAAAATGAAGCTGAATGATTTAAAATAGGTTGGAGGAATTCCATCAGGACCAGGACCTTTGTTGATATTGAGTTTGGACAGTTTTTTTTTCATTCTAGAGATTTCAATGTGGTAATTGGACACATTGAACATGGATGTAATATTGGTATTATAAGGATATAAAGATTGGCTTGTATAGATGGAAGCACATTGATTAGCATAAAGGTTGGCAATATCGATCCCATTGGAAGCAGTACGATTTCCAAAAGTCAGTGCATTAGGTATAGTGTTATTTTCCATTTTGCTGCTTACAAATTTCCTAAAGGATTTAACTTTATTAATAATACAATGTTCGGTGCGTTGAATGTAATCTGTATAACATTGGCTAAATATTTACATCTAGATATTAAATTGCTAAATGCTGCGTAGCTTTCTGGACACGTTGCCCTCTTTTAGATCTTGTGAGCTGATTTCTTCTCATAATGTAGTTTCTTCAGCTCAGGGGAGTGCCAGCATGGAAATCTCTTTTCACAATTTTCTTTTGAGGAACGAAGTGATCAATGATAGAATAAAGAATGTCGTAAAATATCGAAATCATATCAGAAAGCTCCTTTCCATGTAATGCACCATACCAATCGATTGCTTCAAGGGGCGAGTTTATCGATGCATCGTCAGCGAGAAGGAAGTCATAGTAACACTTCACCAGATTAATATTCGTTTGAAATTTTGAGTAGCAAATTAAATTCAAGTGGAGGATGATGGGAGTCTTCAGGAATTAAGATGTCAACAGCCTTCAGGACCGTAAGATCTACTGTTGATAAGATGAGATCAAGAGTAGCTTCTCTATCGTTGATTATTTCGTTGGACTGAAAAATATTGAGAAAAGCACACATGTTGCATATCGTTTCAATTGAACCTATCTCAGATTGAGTAGATAGAGGCAGAGGAGAAGCAACAGAGCAATACTTCTGTACATCCCATAATGTTGGTGGAAGATTAAAATCGGCAATTAAGAAAAGGTTTGCATTACTTTATTGCTCGTTCAAGGTAATTAGTTGATCAAAGTAAGATTGGTATGAAGTTGGAGAAGATTTAGGTGGGAAATATACCGTACCAATTACGATTGAAGAGAACAAACCAGAGAAAATGGTCCATGATAAGATTTCAGAGACGTATGTCTGAGGTAGCCTGAATGGCTACAGGTTACTTGAGAGAATCAAGAGAACATTTCCTGGCTGGTGTGTAGTTAATACCATGCCGCAATGAGAAAGCGTTTCCTAGATCGCTGGTGAGGCTCTCGCTAGATTGAGGTACAAGGGTCGTTCAACATTGGAGTGAATTATCCTTCACGAGAAAATTAAGGCCCTGGTACCGGCCCAACCGCGGACTGGATTAGGTTTTCAGCGATTGGCAGACTGCAGCAAAGGGTCGAATGGATACACTTACTTTTAATCTACCTACCTGCTTATATTTGGGTTTCAGTTGAAAAAACTGCAGTGATACTTCACCATATGATATTATAATACATCTCTTGTCAAAATCTGTAGCCTGTGAACAAAATGACTGCAACTGACCTTCCTGTACGTTTCGATCAGGAGCGAGAGCTTCTCAACTCTCCAGATCCTGATTCAAAAACTGAACCTGGGAAAAAGTTTAGTGGTGCAGCCAGGAAACGACTGAGTCGTCTCCTCCAGAGCGGAGTACCTTATGACACCGCCTTGCACCAAATTCTTGAGCGGCGTACGCAGAATCTGTCTCAGGTGGGGAACAAACCCCCTTGAGCAGGTTAGCAAACGTTTGCCCTCAAATGATGATTCATCGAAACCAGAGGCGAAAAAGCCC